GCTAGGGCCGGGTTGGGCCGGCCCGGCCCATATTGACAGGTCTAATACAAACTACATATCAATCTAAATGAAGGCAATAGATACAGTATCAAGAAATCAGAAATAAAGACTTGGTTTATGAAATCAAATAAAAAGAAGTAGACACGTCAAACTTACATGATTTCTGGTAAATAGAAGCATATGTTGTATAAGTTTATTTTATTTTATTTTTACAATTTTACTTTAAGTGAAAAGTTAGAAGTGTTTTTTTTAGGCAATTTAACAGCTTACTTTTCCTCTTATTTTCTTGTGCATAAATACTCTGTACTAGTGACATTCATTTTCAATCTGAATGAGAATTGTTATTCTTTCCACAAAAATATTTTTCTTTTGATGTTTCTTGGTTTCTTACATGGTATCAAAGCAAGTTCGGAGTAGGGATTCTGAATAACAAATCTTCTTCAAATTTCTTGAGCTTTGCTGTTGATTTATCCTATTATCTGAATTTGTGTTTATTTCAATTTGATTTTGTTGTAGTTTACCTCATTCAAGTTCTAAATCTTAAATTGATAAAAGAATAGAGATACTTTGAAGTTTCTTGTCGAATATTTCATATCTTTTCTAGGATCTTGATCTGTTAGTTGTTGATTTGAGGATTAAGTTTTTGGAAACTTCATTCATGATTGAGGAATCAAAAACTATGAATGTTAATTCTTCAAAACCTAAGTCTTCCAATTCGTATTTGGATGATCTTCAGTCCCCTTTCTATATCCATCATAGTTATAATCATGCATCAGTTGTAGTTAACCCCAAACTCACCCTCAACAATTACATAACTTGGAGTTGATCTTTCTTGTTGGCATTATCCATAAGAAATAAAGTAAGATTTTTGGATGGAACCATAGCTAAACCTAGCTTGATAGATCCTCTTGTCAGTTCTTGGTTGAGGTGTAACAACTTGATTGTAGCTTGGCTTTTAGATTCAATTACACCTCTTATTGCATCAACCGTTTATCTACATGGACAATGAAGTTGAAATATGGAATACATATAGGCAAAATTTTTTACACCTTGATGATACTTGTGTTTGCAATTTGCAATACACATTAGGTAATATGAATCAACAAACTAGGACAGTGGACTCATATTTAATTGAGTTAAAAGGGAATTGGGAGCAATTATGAAATTTCTAACCACTACAACATTGTAAGTGTGGCAAATGTAATCTTGCTTGTTTTAACAAGTACTCAAGTGAACATCAAAAGGATATGGTTTTTAGGTTCTTAAATAGACTCAATGAGTCATATTCCACTTTGAGGTCTCAGATTATTTCAATGGAACCAATCCCTAATCTTAATAAAGCTTACAACATGATTTTGCAGGAAAAGTCTCAAAAAAGTCTACTGATCTAGTCTAATTCTACCATAGAATCATCTGCTATGATACAGTTGTGGATAACAAAAAGAAAACTAAAATTGATTTGATCTGTAATCATTGTGGAAATAAAGGTCATGTGAAGGAAAAATGTTATAGATTAATAGAATTTCTTGAAGATTTCAAGTTTATTGAGGGAAAAGAAACTTCAAGAAAGGAAAATTAGT